CGCTGCGACCCATCCCCTGCCCTGCCGTGCCGCTTCCTGGCAGCGCTCCCCTGGGACGGCCGGAGGGGAGAGCGGTCCCCAGCCCCTGCCACGCCGCCAGGAGCGGGATGCTTACCAAGTGGAAGTACTTCTCCGTGTCCAAATCCTTCACTGTGAAGGGAAGAGAGAGACAGAGGCTCAGTCGAGGAACCCAGCCCAGACCCCACCTCTGCAGCAGCCCCCCAGCTCAGGAGGCGTTTCGCTTTCCCCAGGAACCCCAAGCTCCTGCCCCAAGCGACCTCAGCGGTTTTCTTTGGGTTGTTATTGCTTTCTGGGGCGCATGGCAAGTACCTCCGGAAGCGCTTTAGGGAGGACATGAGGTCTCCCAAGGGGTGTTTTAGGTGGGACCCGAGGTGGCACAGGAGCAGGATCAGTACAGGGGCACTCCTACGTCGTGATGCGATGCCCCACGCGCCCTGGGCTGTCTCCCAGCCTCGCCATTGGGGCGGCCGTGCCTGCTCTGCCCATGCCCTGCAGAAGCCCTGCTCCCAGCTCCCTGCACCCCTCTTCCCCACTGGGTGCTGCGGTTCGGGCAATGCCACCGTGCACAGCAGTCATCAAAGCTCTGAGGTTCTCCACTCTGTCCTGCCGTCCGTCCCCCCGGGAAGGTTGCACTGCCGCTGCCTGCGAGGCGGGACGCAGACCTGCAGTGCCCACAAGGGACAGGGCACATCGCCCAGCCGTAGCAAGGGGGAGCCCCGGGGGAAGGAGAGGGGTACCTCCCCTACAGCTCCATGGCAGTCTCTGCCCCAAACGTGCACCACAGTGTGGGCAAAGGGGTTTGCCGGAGAGCAGCGGAGACCCTGCAGGATGTGGAGGGCGTCCCGAGCACGCCCAGGCTGCTGGCTGGCCAGCTGGCTCAGCGGTGGCAGGCCCAGTCTGCGCTCAGTGTCTTCCCCGGCACCACGGTGGCCCGACCGATGCCCAGCTCTGCCCAAGGTGCCACCAGGACAGGCTGCTCCAGAGCACTGGCAACACCAGCGCCAGCCCTGCACGCCCCGGCGCCAGGCAAGGGGGCTGGCAGCCAGCTCGCAGCACCCCTGGCCAGACACCCCTCTAACAACACATGCGTTTCTGCCTGGCCCCCAGCGACGGGGAGCGAGGAGCGAGACATTACCTCTGCTCAGCGTGGTGTCCTTCTTGTCCGACAAACTCATGGCCAGCGACGCCCCTTCGGGGATCTGCGGAGGAAGGGAAGAGCAGACACCAGTGACGAGGCCCTCAGTGGTGCCTCCCCACGGAGCTGGGGGCGGCCCTGGGGAGGTCTGGGGGGCTGGGGGACGGTGGTGCGGCCGCTGCTCTGCCACAAACATCCTCTGCGCCTGCCCTGCCCTCGCTCCCCAGCTTGGAAACCGGCAGCAACAGCACTGCCCTGCGTAGAGAGGGGATTTTAAATGCAAAGACGAGATAGCGAGGTTCTCAAATCCAAGGGGAATCAGGCAAACACACGCATCCAAGCTGTGGTTTTGGATGCTGATGTCGGGTAAAGCGACGAGGAAGGAGCGTTAGCTGTGCAGATGCTGTTGTGCCTTCCCCAGAAGGGGAGAGGGAACCCGGGCGCAGCCTGGAGCCGCGGGGCTGGCCCCATCTCTGCGCCGCGGCTCCGGCTCCCAGCGCACAGGGCACCGCGCCAGCAGCAGGGCTCTGTGGCACGACTGTTACCCAAATAATAATATTAATAAGTACTCAGCTCCGGTTTTGATTTTCCATGCACTGTTACAGACCAGCGAGGACTATGCTCCCAGGCATACCAGGGAATATGGAAATCGTGTACGAATTTCTGGTTTCATTTAATTTTCAAAGGAAAAACGGTCAAGAAAACAATTTGATTCGCCCCATTTCCCTGCATTTTTAGCCTCTGCCCCTCGATGGCATCCCAAACCCCGGCTCTCAGGGCA